GTTTTCACGAAACTCACTAAAATTGCAATTATAAACTTCATGATATTAATATACCTATGTATAAAAAATAAACCAACTTCCATTCACATTCACGTCGGTAACATGAATACAAATATAATTTATTTGCTCGGATTGTTTGTGAAATGTAGTTTGATTACTCAGTACACGAAAAAAAACAAAGAGAAGCGTTCAAAAGAAAATTTTTGTGTTAAAAATATCAGTAAAATATTTATAAAGTTTGTAAATAAACCATTTGTTTAAATATTTCAAGTAAAACACACGACACTTCGCTGTCGAACATGAATTATCCGAACGAACAAAGAAATGAATAAATGGTTTTGTTGTCCTAAAAACGAATCCCGATACAAATTAGTTTATTAGCACCAAGTTGGCAACAGTGATCAGTTGGCCCCACAATCGAACAAAGTTTGTCGTAAACTTCGCGGCGCCACAGCCGAGCCGAGGCCAATATGCAAATGTGAACTTTCCCTCTTTCAGAGGGCGGGAGGGCGCAGCGACTGCACTTGGCCGATTTACGGCACTCTCCGGCTTTCAAATTGAAACTTACTACAGTTCGCGGATCCATACGTATTTTTTTAAAGGTGACAACTTTATGTGTTTGCGTATGAAATAGGATATGATAGTAGTTTTATTTTTTATTTTAGTGCAACAGTATTTATGGTGGATTCTAAAATCTCGACGTAGTTTTGTTTACTAGCATATCTGTATTTTCTTTGTTCAAAACGTTCAACGTGAATTCTATTTATAATTAGACCCTAATTTTGGGTAAATTTTGATGGCCATAAGTTTATTATCATATCCACCTGTTGCTGATCCTTATGTTGAGGTATTCGCATATGATTTTTAACATCTGCATGAAAAATTCAACGTCATTACAGTGAATAGTAGACGTAAGTATTCACAAATTCTATTTAATACATCTTGGAGAGAGACTTAGCATTGATAACAAAGCAGATGAAACGTTATCCACGTCTTGGTTAGAATGGCTCTGACAGAAACATCCCGTAGGCAACGTTAGGTAACACCAGTTCCCATCTTGTGAGTAATTAACGCGATTGCGAGAGCGCTATGTACTGAAACAGTGTTTGAAATAGAGACGCCTTTAACCAAGATTCGAGATGCAATGGCCTATATACGGGACGAGTAGGATATCAAAGCAATCTGGCCGGGTGGCCGTCCGAGGTGCAATTCGGGCCTGCTCCTTGCGCATATTGCATGCACGTACCAATGAAGTTTGCTTTGTAGGCGGTAATCTGCGGGGGAGTATCGGCCGGGGTGGTGGGTGGCGGGTTATGTACACACGAGCCCGAGGCGTCGAGGTAGGCAAATGGCCGGCGAGGCGGGCGCGTAGGCCGACAGATCTCGAGCGATATCGACCCGCGGCCGGCCCGACGCCCGCGGCCGCTCGTCGCCACGGACAACACTCGCGGCGCCCACCCGCCGTTAGCGACAAAAACACTCCTTTGTTTGCGCACGACCAAGTGCTCCAGCCTGGGAAACGAACCCCTGTTGACAATGGAACTGACACGTTTAAACAACCGACACCCGTCGATAGTCGTACACCGCGCCGGTAATTTCGCTGGCGATGTCGATATACCTGTGACTTTACTAAAATTGTATAGATATACGTATAACGATCTGCTGCCGCATCTGAATACGTAGACAAAAATAATCTACCCTCCTATTTTATGTCTATCTTGACCCACCTCAACGAATTTGCTTACTTAAATAATTAAACATGATATCGATGTCGATAAACTGTCGTAATGCCAGGTCACCCCTACTTGGTCGCGACCGCTAGGCGGCGGGTGGCGCAAATCACTCGCGCGGACTGCCGTTCTTGGAAAGCGCCCCCGCGCTGCGCTCCTTTATCAACGTGTTTAGTTTTATTTGTCGATAAAAAATACCGTTCTCTGCACTACTCGTGGACCGGAGGATGTGGTCTTTTATGTCGTATGTTTATGTTACGTGAAAGGGGTGTTTTACTAGATATATATTTTGTGGGTGTGACTTTAGCTTTTTCTCGTTTAGGATATAAGTAAAAGTTTAGTTTATTGAGATACCTTGCTTAAGTTTCGAATTGATGTGAACAACAAAAAAGAAATAATCTATAGTTTGTGGATCAGTTGTTAAATTATATCTTAAGTAATTCTTAATAAATCGATTATTGTGACAGTGGCAGTCTTGTATATGAATTCCTTTTTAATGACCATCTTGTTTTCCCTCCTGGTGACTTTGCAGCACTTGTACAATAACCGTTGCGTATAACATCATCATCTTCTTCATATAAATAAAACTTTAGCATATATGTCATACACCTCTGATTAATCCTTTGTGTAAAACTAATGTCTAACACTAATTTTCATGAAAATGTAGGTTCAAATAGTGAACTATCGTCTATCGATATCGACTTAGGCACATCATTTTCAATTAGAGTCACAGCACGGTCTCGCATGAGTGGCGTACTACGCGTCGGCAGCTTCGAGACTCCCAATCGATACTGAGTATCGATACGTTGCGAACGGATGTGTCGCAGCCCTAGTGCGGTGGGCGTCTTGTTCGAAATCCGAATAACGCTTGGTCAAGCGCGACTCAAAGCGAGGGACGTGGCATGGTCTAATTTGCACCGGCTATACAGCTGGCTATATATACCTACTGTACGTACATATCTATGTACGTGTATGGTTCACCTCATACTGCGCTTTTGAGCTGAATATTATATGTACGTATACACACTACCTTTGCTAACGGTAAGGTTTAGACGTAGGTACCTACTCGTAATACTATTTATTTTAGTGGCATTGCTCTTAGTGCAGAACTAGAATAGAAATATAGGATACCGAAACATAAATTTCAACATTAAAAACCTGATTAACTATTAAGAAAACAAAACCTACTGTAGCTATATCCTTCACAGGCATCTATAGTACAAAACACTTAGAACGATGGTGGAGCAAGAAGAGAAGAGCAAAAAGTTTCAGACAAAATTCCCTAATCGAAGATTGGCAGATTTTTTAAAATACTAAATATTATTATCTGATATAGTGTTCGCGTACTGACAATAAACTGACTACTATTTACCATACCCACATTTTAACGTAATTATTCAGGATTTTAAAATCATCACACGGGTTAAACTTTCCATCAGCGGCTTCACCCTCGTAGTTAGTAAAAAAAGAAAGGAAATCTATATCAATCTTGAGCAAAGTCAAAGCATTTATTTCAATTAAACCATAATTTGGTACTTTTGAAACGTCAACAAATACAAAATAAATAATAGTCTGTCAGTCAGTCCGTCAGTGAAGCTAGGTGAAGCTAGGTGCTCATTCCAAAATGTAGATTCGAATGGAGAAGAACGAGCAAGAAACTCCATTCGTTACTCTTTTTTAAAAAAGTATGTTCTACAATGTCTCTGATACATATTTCAATACTGTACGCATATGTGAGAACAATGCAAAGACACGCTTGACGCATTATAGGTACTAATAGCTAAGAGCCTCCGAGAACTACCACCAGAATTAATATAATTCGGTGTTGCATTTATAATATTAACAAGACTATATTATTATTATGCCACAAAGGTGGTAGTATTCAGGAAACCAGTGCTCAGGGATCTGGTCTAAAATCCTTAACGCCGGAGTCTCTATTATTATTTATTTAATAATAAAAGGTACAATGTATGCCTTATAATTTAACGCCATGTCCAACAAAACTATACATTAATAGTTTGACAGTTGGATCTTTTACATTTGTACGATTATGGTACAATTATCTATAAACAGTATGGCTTTCTATACGTATTCGATACTCCAAAACAAAGATGAAAAACCACATAATGACTACATATTATATGACTGCCAAGTAAATTGCGCTTTTGAATTGAATATTAACACGTACTGTCGTTTCTAACCTCAGTAACCTCTATGTGTCTACAATCTACATCTGTGTGTCTATTTCTTATTCACAGTTTGTGGAGGCTGACATTGTTTTCATGTTCTGTTGGCTAGCCAGCTTGTTTGAACAATGTTAATTGATAAATAGCTTTGCTAGTTACGTTCCTAGGTTCATTGGGAAGGTAATGTCGCTCGTCTCATGCATAATTTTCGACTTGGTTTGTGTTTGGTAATGAGTTGAAAGTGAGGTCTGGTTCTTTGTTTAAAGTTATGTCAATAAAAGTTACTGATTTTCTGACTTAACTATCGACAAGGTATCTCTACCAGTTTCAAGCCACGCCTGGGACCTATAATCATATATGAGCAAAATTATTGACTGACTGCCTCGTTGGCCGAGTGGTCGCAAGTGCGACTGCCGGCCAAGGGGCCTCGGCTTCGACTCCCGGGTCGGGCAACGTCGTACTCGGTTTTTAAAAAATTCTCAGTTGTAGCACGGAGTCTGGAAATGTGCCCGGTATATGGCAGTAGGCTCACCCCCTATTACATGGGACTCATAACATAACATTTAAATAGTGAAAAGTGGTTACATTGTACAGTGGCATAATGTACACCTCTGCCTACCCCTTCGAGGATAAAAGGCCCAATGTTATGATGTTATGTTTATTGACTGATTTCTGATAAGTTAACTACATTTACTTCTTGTCTGTTACATTATTGTACCTAAAACATAATTAGATTGAGTTAAATACAAGCCATAAAGTCATCGAACTTTATCCCATCCAGCTCGTTACTGAAAGTCTTCAATTATGTTAATAGTTTTCCTATCCTGATATAGAACCTGAAGAGATTCTATCTGTACTTATTTAAAATATCATCAGCACTTTTTTATACCCATCTCATATGAAACAAGTACCACAGCAAGATAATTAATTTAAAACACATGTATCATTGCGAGTCTATTGTTCTGCTGACCCCCAACGAGCGTGACGTGGCGCCAATCGTTATCTCCAGTCGCCAACGGTTGCCATCAGTCACTATCATCATCGGCCGACTACTTTCCGCTACATTTAATCTGCGGTGATCAAAATGGAGGGAGCCATGGTATTGTTACTCCTCTTAACCGAATTAGTGATCGTTGTAGTATCACGCCTATGTTCTAAAAGGGAGCAATCAAAGTTAAAACAGAATATTATTGGGACATCTATATCATGTTCTGTGTATAAAGGATTTGAGTTAAGAATATATAATACTAGCTGTTACCCGCAACTTCGTCCGCGTGGAATATCATTTCTGTTTTATCCCATGTGAGCATTTAATCGGAATAAAAATATCCTATCACCTAAGTCAACCCATACCCTGCCTGTATACCAAGTTTCAGCGTGATTGACGGTCTAACAACCAAACAAAGAAACTTTCATATTTATAATATCATATAGCGTAAAGGTTTAAACCTATACAAGTATAATAAGTACAATAATAAACTAATAAACTTTTTTTTTAGTTTATTACATAACATTATGTAATAAACTTTTTTTAAGGGGAAAATAAAGGAGTTTCAAAGTACCAAGCTTATAGCAACAAACCTTATCTATTTCAGGATAACTAAAAACTTCAGTAGGTACTGGAAAAATAATCCTTTGTCTCGACTCGGTAAAAAAACCTTGCAACTCCTTAAAAGTCCCACACGAGACAAAGTACAAAATATATGTACATATTTTAACAGTAGTCTATCTAATCGAAATATAAACAACATATAACATAACATTACGCCTTTTATCCCCGAAGGGGTAGGCAGGGAATGTACACACATTATGCCACTGTACAGCGAGCACAATTCCAGACTCCGACCACTGAGAATTTAAAAAAAAAACGGTAATACTTTGATCGATCCGGGAATCGAACCCAAAACCGACAGGCCGGCAGTGGAAATATAAAGATTTTAATAAAAAAATCAAGAATAATTATTTAATACAATAATAAGTAATCCGAACGCTTAAAAACAATGAAACACAACAACACGAAAGGTAAAAGCGAATGCGGAAAAAGAAAACTGATAGCGAAAGTACTAAAAAGTTTTCAATGAAAAGTGAAAGTTGGACGCGAAAGTTGCGAATGCGGACTTTGTTTCCCTCAACTTTGAATTCAATTTGTGGGAGGCTGGGGGCACCCCCACCCCCGGCCCCATTTATGATAGCCAACAATAATAATCGTGGGAACTCCTTTTTTATACGAACTTTTTTCACTCACAAAGATGTTTGTGTTCTTTTCTTGTTAGACTTTTTAATAAACGATTGGTTTCCCTTTAATTTGACTTTTTTTGTATTGTTTTTGTATTAATAAGTTTGTAAGGAATTGAGGTACTTTGAATACTGTTTATTTATTTAGAGAGTTTATCTTAAGAGTTTATATTATGTTCTGTGGTATTAAAGTGGTTGATATTTTACTTTTTGTTTTGGTTAATTTGACAAAATATCGTGTTATTTATTGCTTTTGGTTTTTTAACAATAATGGTGGTCATTTTCATTGATGTTAATTAATTAACGTTGACATTAACATCCGATATTATGGCTTAAAAGTACAAAACGTCATCAATACATAGTATAAAACAAAGTCGCTTTCGCTGTATGTCCGTATGTATGCTTAGATCTTTAAAACTACGCAACGGATTTAGATGCGGTTTTTTTTAATAGATAGAGTGATTCTTAAGGAAGGTTTGTATGTATAATACATGCATATTGCACCCGTGCAAAGCCGGGGCGGGTCGCTAGTAAATCATAAAATGAAGCTTTTCAATCCACTAACAACGTATCTCAACTACAACTAACGCCATCTATGTCTCCTTCGCGTAAACGTAACACCGTATAGTTTTCCGAGTTCATTATAATAGTAAAGAGACTCTCATGTATTTGCCCATATCAGTAAGTGAAAACCAAAAACATAATTTTTAATTACCCTGCTTATCTCTTCTTGCAGCCGGAGCGCTTAATCTCCCCATATACGGCAATCATCCGGCGTAGCGCGAACCCCTTCGAGTTAGCACATGTACTGGTCTCATGGCTCATTGGGGCTGGTTACGATGCCTACGTAGTGGTGGGATGTGCCACCAGAGACGTCTGTATGGCCATCAGATACCGCACCATATGTCCCGATATACCTGATGAGAATGAGGTGAGGGGGTGAATTTTTAATGGGGGTTTATCATCGTATGACTTCTTCCGCCCGCGTGAAGCGACAGGGAATGTCAGACTGACTAAAAACCACCCGTGGCCGTTGTCCGAGTCGTATAGTCCCAGCAACCCGTTAAGTCTTTCGCGGCTCCGCATCGGGCGTCTTTTGGCTCTTTGAGGCGCGCTCGAAACGCTACGCGCCAGACGCTCGGGCCTTGTTCTGGAGAGCGGCCAGTTACCCATGCTCACTGTCCGCAGGCCGAGGTGAGGGGGTGATACAAAGACATTTTTTAAACTTGGATAGACAAAATCCTCAATGTAACGCTAGTTTTTGGTTTGGAAGGCTAATAAAAATTGTCTCTACTGTAACACATTTCTTATAAATTTCATAATGTATGGTATTAATTTATTTCCAAATTTAATAACTCAATCAAACTATTAACCCCTCAAATGTTAATTGCATGACATAGGTGCATCATTATACGGAAGGTTCACCTTGAATTTTATTTTCTTTCGATAGTCTAAAAAGTCCTGATCTTAACGTTGCACTTGTATCTTTCCCAACATTATCATACTTTAATAACGATATCGCTTGTACTGGATTATAACTTGGCTAGGCCTGCAGTTTAGGTAATTTTTCCTACAGTCCGCAAACCCGAACCGTTTCATTTGTAAAGAAGCTTGTTAAACGAAAAAAAACTGTTCATAAAAAAATTGCAATCGTAAGTAGTAACCAAGAGAAAAAAAAATGTTTTTAATTCTTCTATATTGATAGGTCATTGAGGAACCTCCACCGCCAGAAGAAGAGCCGCGGTACAAGCTGTTGCCGCTCCCAGACCTCACATCTAAATATTGTAGGGACATGGATACCAAAGAAGCCAATAAGATACAAGGAGAAAAGGACAAGATTGAAAGGGCGAGGCAAAAGAAAATAGCTGTGAGTACCATACATCCTGAATAACATTAAAAATAGAATGCACTTTCGCTGGCGGTATCTAAACCGACATGACTTTAAACCTTTACGAAGAGAAAAGAGCATACCTACTCCACCGAAAATAATGGGTAAAACGCACTTATTACTCCTCTGATGTTGCGAGTTTCCATAGTGTCCATTTGTGAATCTTTTCGCTTACCATCAAGTGATCCTACTGCTCATTTGCCCCCTATTTCATAGAAAGAAATGTGACCATGTGTTTGTTTGTGGATACTTTTACGTTGCAATGGAGCGTTCTTGGTATGGAGTATGGATAGTGGATATAGTCTATAGTTTGGATAGTAGAGCAGCTGTTTTTAAATATCTTATGCCGGAATATTAAAACGTTACTCAATTTTAAGTCGTGCTTAAATATCGTGCCATCTCTGTCATTTCACAAAGAATTTGTAGAGACAGAACTATACTTAAGCGTGACTTAAAATTGAGTAACGTTTCAGTATTCGGGCATTAGCTATGAATTATTTTCAACGCTGCATATTAACATTCCAGGAATTAGAGAAACCACCCCCTGATGAGATGGATGGATGGCGCACACACGCGTGGATACTGGTACTGCCTCACTTCATGGGTGTCGAGGAACCGTTCTTCATTGAGCCCAGTGAGGGTAACGGGTACCCACTGGACGCTAAGCAGTACCAACACATCGAGAGCGTCTACAATCATGAGAATTATTATGTAAGTACTACATACTGATGTAGACTACAATCAATTTTCAAAGAATATTTAAGTCAAGACCAAAGTTGATGAAATTTAAATGCTATACAATTTACTATTATTCATATGAGGAGTACTCAATATACAAATCTGCGTTTACTTTATGACCTTCTGCATAAGATCTTGAAATGGACGCATCCGAAATTACACCTAATATAAGGACTTTAAGGACCTGTTTCGCAATGTCTGGATAACCGTTATATACTAGTTAAATTACAGAACGCAATTTGTATGAACTATCTACCATATAAGTTTATCAGGTACTGAAATAGACTCTTCCTGTCTTTAAAACTTGAGTCTTTTACTACCAGGTAAATGTCCAGAAGGAACCAGAAGAAAGTCTTGCAGAGCTGAACTATGACCTCGCAGATATATCTTGTTGGGAACATCTCCTGGCTGGAGAACCCTTCTATAGGCGTCAGCTCGTTGGCATCGACACTAGTGACAAGAGAACTGCAGTGGACACTGAAAAGCACTTGGATATGCCGTTCAGCTGGGTTGAGAAGCTGGATATCACTGGGGATGGTGGGTAGATCAAGTATTTTAATGATTTGCAATTAATACGGTTATACTATAAAAAAATTATCCCCGAAGAAAATTTATCGCCTTTTATCCCCGAAGGGGTAAACAAAGGTACACATTACAGCACCTAATGCCAATGTACAATGTAACACCCACTTTTCACTATTTATGTTATGAGTCCCATGTGATAGGGGGTGAGCCGATAACTATTTAAAATATGTTCTAAATCTGATCTATAAACGTAATCCTATATGTTCTGCTCATCTATCCTTTCCAGAATATGAACAGCGTTACCCAGGGAGCCACAAAGTCATCCACTACAAAAGGGTGTTACTTGAGAAATTCTCGCCGTATTCCGAAAACGACGGGATCGTGAAACGGGTTAAGATATTTGAAGACTACGCTCTCAGTATCCCGCTGATTACGTAAGATGTTCATTTAATTTTATTTTTATTGGTTGAAAATAGTATTTACGAAAAGCTGATGATACCTATTAATGAAAGTAAGATAAGTAAAAAAGAAAGTTTTTATTATTTGGTATATTGTAATTAAGTTTATATTAAACACAACAAATTAAATTCCAGATATGAATGGTATAAGCAGAGAGAAGACAAAATGGATTTTGTAAGATTGGATCATGTGACGCGACAGGTTAAGGAAACGTTTCTCGTCGGCAGAAGAGATCACCTTTTGAGTAAGAGTCCTAATTTACTGTATAAATTTATTTGGTTTTTGTGTTTCTTTCACTTCGCAACGGAGCGATTTAATGCTATAAGTACCTCTGACTTTTTTTTATGGGATAATATGGTAAACGAGCAGACGGATCACCTGATGGTAAGCAATCGGCGTCGCCCATGGACACCTGGAACACCAGAGGCGTTACAAGTGCGTTACCGGCCTTCTGGACTAGAAATTTGTGGATTGTTGGGGTTTCAGGGATTGGGGAAAGGGGGTCTTCCGGTAACCTCACTCACATGACGAAACACAACACAACGTTGTTTCACATCAGTCTTCTGTGAGGCCGTGGTATCACTCCGGTCGAGCCGGCCCATTTATGTCGAAGCATGGCTCTCCCACACTTAGAGATGATGCTGAATCTGATACAGGTTATTTTTAACTGACTTCAAAAAAAGGAGGAGGTTCTCAATTCGATCGTATATATGGTTTTAATCTCTCTTGTCCACGAGGATTTTGCAACGGGTAACTGCAAGATTCTAATAGCTATATTGATGACAATCGCCATTATCGATCAAGGGGTCTTGGAAGTTCGACTTTTTGGGGCCGTTAAAGTGTTTTGTAAAATTTTATTTAATCTTAATCTTTTGCCCGTTAATATTCACCTTTAGAGCATTCATACGCCATGGAAGCGCCACCTTGTTCAGTTGAGGGTGATCGCGTGATGGAGTTCAACTACTACCCTCGACTGGACCACCTTTTGAAACTGGTGTGCACTCCTCTGACATTTGAAGAACATTACAAAGATCGGGATGACAGGTTAGTTTTGTCAATTAAATTCATTGCTTTAATTTACCGACTTAAAAAAAAGAAGTTCTCAGTTTGACCACCATTTTTGATGCGGTTTTACAAAATCTTTGTTACATTTAAGAGAAGGTTTTAGTATATTAATTAACCGACTTCAAAAAAAGAGAGGGTCGACGTCGGTTTATTTACACGTAGTATATAAAATAATTATTATAGATGGTTTGTCTTACGAGCGCGGGTGCGCCATATTTGTGTGGGTAAATGTGCACGGCACATTGTCTTTGTTTGCGTACGCTCGCCCCGTTGGCCGGAATGCCAATGAATGAACTTGCTGTGAGTTACGCACACAAGCGCGCGTGTCTATATGCGCTACAACTACAACTATGGCTCACCCGCGCTCGTGAGATAAGAGAACGATATGATATTGTTAGTTTAATCTCTTTCAAATGGATAGTAGATTTTTCCATTCTATTGTTACGTTCTTAAAGGTTTTCGGTATATGATAATGAAAACATTGGCTTTAAAAGTATGTTACTTATAATATGTTTTTTTTTTAATTCTTATTGACTATGGAATCACCCATATTGCAGATTGGAATCTCGCATAATAGTTTACACAGAAGGAACCAAACTCGAGCCAAAACGCCAAGTGAAGGACATCACTGAAACTTACAGTCGAAACTACGACATCCCAGCTAATAAGGACATTTGGAAGAAGATCTTCCACATTCAGGAAAATACTATTGAGCTCCTGTACCAGTACGCTTACAACTTTGTCACAAATGATACCAGGAGTTTCATCAAACCGAACTTGGCAGAAACTGGCGGAAAAATCCTGTTCTATCCGGATAAAACGTCTGGTTATATTGTAAGTATTATTGTTAAGTTTTTATATAAGAGTAATGTAAAACAGACTTTTTTTTAAAAGAGTAACGAATGGAGTTTCTTGCTCGTTCTTCTCCACTCGAATCGACATTTTGGAACGAGCGCCTAGCTTCACTGACGGACAGACTGACAGACTATATTATATATTTCATATTTGTTGACGTTTCAAAAGTACCAAATTATGGTTTAATTGAAATAAATGCTTTTGAGTTTAAGTTTGAGTTTGAGTTTGAGTTTATAATAACTATCGTGAGACATACTAAATTAACTAAAATCGCGGGTTATTCACGTGAATGTACTGAGAAAAGCTCTACTAGTTTCGAACCACAGAGGGGTTCTTCCTCATGAGCAACGTGCGCGACGTCGTGCGACCGCGCAGAGTAGCAGAGCTTTTCTCAGTATATTCACGTGAGTAACCCGCGATTTTAGTTGATATTATTGTTAAGTTAGAATATTTTATAATCCATGTAAGTGGCACTAAACATTTTTGCTTCCATATTTTCAACTATCGATTCTCGTATACCTTTTGCGCTACATTTGGTAAAGGAAATCGCTTCTAAAGATAAAAGCGTTAAAGCATAATTCTGCATATGTATTCCACAAATGTAGACCCATTAAAAACTTAGTACTCACCTAATTCATTTTAGGCGGATCCGAATGCACCTCAACCTCGCCCCCTAGACGTGTACTACGCTCTCTGTGAGAATATAGACTGGGAATATCAAACCACGAAGCACATTAGAGATCGGGAGACAGATGTAAACAGCTACCTTCGACAAAGACACCGTGAACTGAAGGAACCAATACTGTACGTCGCTCTCTTTGACACAGAGAGAAATGAGGCTGCAAAGAAAGGCTGGACTGAGAGGGTAAGAATCAAATATGATATTTTTTTCATTATATTTTGGCCAGTTACATATATTCGATAGTTTACATAACATAACA